GTGTGGGGCCCCCCTGTGTTGTGGTGCATGGTGTGGGGCCCCCCTGTGTTGTGGTGCATGGTGTGGGGCCCCCCTGTGTTGTGGTGCATGGTGTGGGGCCCCCCTGTGTTGTGGTGCATGGTGTGGGGCCCCCCTGTGTTGTGGTGCATGGTGTGGGGCCCCTCTGTGTTGCGGTACATGGTGGAGGGCCCCACTGTTCTGTTATAACCAACAGAGCCTAAGCACCTAACTTAACCTCCGCCTAAATATACATAGAATGTTTATGAATAATAATTTTAATTTATATATAACAAAACAATTTTTAATACATAGTTTGTTTAAATTGATGAATGCGTCTGGGGAACACGGCCGCTGCTTTAACCAGCCTAGTGTGAGGACGGGTTGGGGTGGTAATGATTGGACGCGTTTCCTATCACCTAACGCACCTTTTCACCTAATAGTAAATAGGTACCCAGAAGCTAATCAGCTTGTTGTACTCACCTAGTTGTGCTTACAGGTATTGAGTTTTGGATCTTTGGTCCCGCCTCTCAGCCGTCATTCAACAGGTGTACAGGTTCCTGAGCCTATTGGGCTCTATCATATCTACATATGAAACTGTGTATGGAGTCAGCCTCCACCACATCACTGCCTAATGCATTCCACCTGTTAACTACTCTGACACTGAAAAAGGTCTTTCTAACGTCCCTGTGGCTCATTTGGGTACTTAGTCTCCACCTGTGTCCCCTTGTGCGTGTACCACCCGTGTTAAACAGTTTATCTTTATCTACCCTGTCAATTCCTCTGAGAATTTTATGGGGAATTGCTTCCTGTGGATGGTTAGAAATTCGACCTTTGGATGTAAAGGGGGGGGGGGACGTCGATTTAAGCCTAACATGTACTGTGTATATAACTGGTTTCCTGTCCCCGGCACAATGTATTATTAAACTGAAGCTGTTCGCGAAATTTACATAATTTTCCGTCTTCTATTTTGGATCCCTTTGGCCAGATTCACGAAGCAGTTATGCAAGCACTTACGAACCTGTACATCTTTCCTCAATCTTTGGCGGCTTTGTTTACAATTATTAAACAGTTAATGAACTCCGAAGCACCAGGAGGCTGTTTATAACAATAACAACAGTTGATTGACAAGTTTTCATGCTTGTAAACTGTTTAATAAATGTAACCAAAGCCGTTAAAGATTGAGGAAAGATGTACACGTTCGTAAGTGCCGGCGTAACTGCTTCGTGAATCTGGCCTCTGGTATGTTAGGATAAGGGCACTTAGTACAGCAGTTTCTTAACGTTGGGGACCTTAGGAGGACCGGCTGGGCTGTGGTAGGCTACCAGTAAAAGAGAGAACGTGTGTATATAGTTACTAAAGAAAACGAAATCAAAACGTGTTCTGTAATAACAATTAATGGGTGACATTAACTTTAAACCGAGAATAGCTGATGCTGTTAATAACCAGTGGGGCCAGATTCACGAAGCTGTTACGCAAGTACTTAAGAACGTGTACATCTTTCCTCAGTCTTTGACGGCTTTGGTTACATTTATTAAACAGTTTACAAGCCTGAAAACTTGCCAATCAACTGTTGTTATTGTTATAAACAGCCTCCTGGTGCTTCGGAGCTCACTAACTGTTTAATAATTGTAAACAAAGCCGCCGAGATTGAGAAAAGATGTACAGGTTCGTATGTGCTTGCGTAACTGCTTCATAAATCTGTCTCCAGAATATCTAATCTAGGACAGTTGACCATAGTCTTTAGTTTCCCACTTATATATAATCAAGTTTCATTCTCGTTGCGTAAGAAAAGTTATTATAAGTTCGAATTTTACCTAGACTTCTGAAATGAACCATGTCCCCATGTAGCTCCTTGTAAATTAAAGCTCACAGGAGTTCAATAACTCATAATATATATTATTATTCTTGACAACGGAAGAAAATTAACATTGGGCAAACTAAAGTCTACCCAAGGCAGCCAAGGTCTCTTCACGAGTTTGCTCTGAAGAAGCTGTGAGTCACCCCCGGACGAACTCTGTTGAGAGTATTAGCCTGCCTGTGACGTGGCAGTATCAGGAATCGCCTTATCCGGGGCTCGCTGGTGGAAGAGACTAGCCACTGTGGTGCTTAGTGAGGAGAGTGATCAGCGGGATCACACGAGGCTCCTGCCTAGGGCTCGCAACCCTAGTATCGGTCGTGGAGTGGCCTACACAGCGGAGCTGATCGGTACCTGCCAGCTACAGACTGGATTGTGGTTGAAGGCCTCCACGACGTAGCACCCAGTGGGACTGTGATATGGCTGGCCTGTGGCCAGGGTAGATTCGCCAAGAGAATCATAGAGGATTCATCGGGGGGCCACTGAAGAAAGAACCAGGGCTACCCAAAGTGCGCACCGTGGAGCATCCAGTGTTTTCGGAGGAAGACAACCTTGTACATAATCGTGTAGTAATAACCCCCGTGTGCAACTGTTATTTATTTATGATGGTGGTGAATATATATATATATATATATATATCCGAACATTTGTATCCCTCCCCCTTTAATTTACCTTGCATTACGGAACACACCCCTTGAAAGCCTCTACTAACTTGGGGCCGGATACCCAAACTCTAATAACATCAGAGAAGAACCCGGTTGCGTCCCAATAGGGCCGTAACATAATTACGGCCCTATATAAAATAATACAACTTTTGACGGGCTCTATTTAGTTTATTTAAAATTTTGGTTCTTATAACAAGGGTCAAGACTAAACTATACAACGCAATTTGATATATTACAAGGTCTGGAATTTATTACTTATTCCTGTTAATTGTGACAAACCACAATCCTGTTAATTGTGTAGTTCACTTAGTACTAATAGATATTCTGGAGTCAAGCAACTATTGTGGATTATAACCTGGATATCAGCCTGAAGACGGATTTATCACATTTTCACGATTTGAAACAAAATCTAAAATATTGGTATAGTTATCCTAAGAAGCCATTTTCTTAACACTTCCTCTAAAAGAAAACTGTTCCTATTATCGTATTACATGGATAACTTCTCTAAAACATCTGTATGCACCCTTCGACTCTATATTTTGCTTCAGAATTGTTGTCTAATTTCATACGTTCACAAAATACTGTATTAATCACTGTGTTTTTCGTATACATAAGGAATAGCTGCCAAGATAACAAGGACATACTTGAATTAATATTTTTATCTCCTCGAAATATCCAACAATTAGATGGCTGAAGTGATATGTAGTAAGCATCTCTTGTTTATTTACCTGAATTTACCTGAGTGCCAACATCTCTAGGGACCTTGACGAGGTCAGAAAACCGGAGGCTGGTCAACGGTTCCTTCATTATTCATATAGATTTTCCAGCTAAATTTTTAATGGAGGTACAGTAATATCAAGGCATTTGTGGCTTTGAAGAGAGGTAGTGAATTCTATGAGCTTATGGGTGAAAAAGAATTCTCCGTTTTATGTCCTAAATGGTGGCTTTTTGAGCTTGAAGATAATGCTCCTTGTATGTGTTACATTGTGGCTTTTTGAGCTTGAAGATATTGCCCCTTGTATGTGTTACATTGTGGCTTGTTGAGCTTGAAGATAATGCCCCTTGTATGTGTTACATTGTGGCTTTTTGAGCTTGAAGATAATGCCCCTTGTATGTGTTACATTGTGGCTTGTTGAGCTTGAAGATAATGCCCCTTGTATGTGTTACATTGTGGCTTGTTGAGCTTGAAGATAATGCCACTTGTATGTGTTACATTGTGGCTTTTTGAGCTTGAAGATATTGCCCCTTGTATGTGTTACATTGTGGCTTTTTGAGCTTGAAGATAATGCCACTTGTATGTGTTACATTGTGGCTTTTTGAGCTTGAAGATAATGCCCCTTGTATGTGTTACATTGTGGCTTTTTGAGCTTGAAGATAATGCCCCTTGTATGTGTTACATTAGACCTTTTAAAGAAATGATATGATACTTGAATATCCTACAATCTATTTATCTTGCCTTTCACGATATACTGTTTACATTTCCGGACCTCTGTTCTTTCTGATGGTGTAACATCTGACTTTCTTCAGCCTGGGTTCATTTACCTGAATTTACCTGAGGGCTACTGACACTAGTGGCCTCGAAGAGGACAAGTAGCCGGCGGCTTGTTAAAGGTCCTCACATTTGTGTTGATAATATTTTCCTGTTGGAATTTAAAATTCAACAGGGACTTGGCATTTACGGCTTTGGCGGGTAGGTGGTTCCATGGGTTTATAACCCTGTGGGTGCAAAAGCATCTCCTGTACTCAGTCCAACAGTGTGGCTTGTTGAGGTTGATGCCGTTGCTCCTTGTTTGTGTTACATCTGACCCTTTGAAGAAATTGCCCGAATCAAGATTCTCCAAATTGTTCAGTATTTTATAAGTTTCAATGAGATCCGCCCTACCATGCTTAGTCTGCAGTGTTGTTAATGCCATGTGGGAGCCGGTCGGCCGAGCGGACAGCACGCTGGACTTGTGATCCTGTGGTCCTGGGTTCGATCCCAGGCGCCGGCGAGAAACAATGGGCAGAGTTTCTTTCACCCTATGCACCTGTTACCTAGCAGTAAAATAGGTACCTGGGTGTTAGCTGTCACGGGCTGCTTCCTGGGGGTGGAGGCCTGGTCGAGGACCGGGCCGCAGGGACACTAAAGCCCCGAAATCATCTCAAGATAACCTCAAGATGTGGCTTCAACCGTTCCTAATACGATTATGTTTGACTAGACAAGTAATTCAAGTTGTTAGGGGTACATAAAGCCTGTATTAAGTCTTAACAAGGCCCCTTCTTCAGGCCAAAATAGATTCTCCATTGGATGCAACCCAAAAACATTGCCTAACTAGGGCGAACAGGGACATCAGGTGAATGGGAATGTTGCCTAACCGTCTCTGGCCTACTTGGGGATTGAGCCAGGGACCCTCGGTTGTGAGCCGAGGACGAAGACTACAGTGCTACAGACCTCATAAAAGATCCATTGAAGTATTAATAGGTCGAAATAATAATACACATTCATATGTACAATTTATTACAAAATATACATTTATATATATATATATATTGTTTGTATACTCAATATATATGACTGTTAGATTGTTAGAGATTGTTAGATTGTGGAGAGTTAGTGAGTCTTTTGGGGGATGTTAGTGGAATATACATTGTTAATAGATGCTTAATTGTCGTTATTGCACTGTTGATAATTTTAGTGCACTGTTACCTGTTTGTTAGTGCACTGTTAACTGATGCTAGTGCCCAGTTAATGTTAGTGGGCTGTTAATTAACGTTACTGCACTGTTAACTGATGCTAGTGCCCAGTTAATGTTAGGGCACTGTAAATTGATGCTAGTGCCCAGTTAATGTTAATGGGCTGTTAATTAACGTTAGTGCACTGTTAATTGATGCTATTGCATTGTTAATGATCAAACTGCTTGTTATCTTCAAGAATCATAAGTATGTTGTTAGTATACTAAATAACCTGATGCTTTCACGTTATTAATTTCTGGTTTGTTAATGGTTATTCCGTTGTTATGATGATAGAGGGTTGTTAGTTGGTTGTGAAGGGGAAGTGGTAGTTAGTATTGGTTGGTGTTGCATGTGTGCTAATGGTTGCTGGGGTTGTGGTGGTTGTGGTTGAATTGGAGGTGGCGATCTAAGTGGTTATGATTGTGGTGATGCTTGTAGTTGTTGTTATAGTGGTGTTAGTTGTGGTTCTGTTGGTAGTGTGGAAGCTTAACACCTGTCTGTTGGTAGTGAGGAAGCTTAGCACCTGTCTGTTGGTAGTGAGGAAGCTTAGCACCTGTCTGTTGGTAGTGAGGAAGCTTAGCACCTGTCTGTTGGTAGTGAGGAAGCTTAGCACCTGTCTGTTGGTAGTGAGGAAGCTTAGCACCTGTCTGTTGGTAGTGAGGAAGCTTAGCACCTGTCTGTTGGTAGTGAGGAAGCTTAGCACCTGTCTGTTGGTAGTGAGGAAGCTTAGCACCTGTCTGTTGGTAGTGTGGAAGCTTAGCACCTGTCTGTTGGTAGTGAGGAAGCTTAGCACCTGTCTGTTGGTAGTGTGGAAGCACCTGTCGTAGTGGTCTACAGCTTAGTGGTGAGAAGCCATACTGGTACCATCCTGGAGAACATGTGAACATTAGAACATGTGAACATTAGAACATGTGAACATTAGAACATGTGAACATTAGAACATGGGAACATTAGATTATGTGAACATTAGAACATGGGAACATTAGAACATGTGAACATTAGAACATGTGAACATTAGATTATGTGAACATTAGATTATGTGAACATTAGAACATGTGAACATTAGAACATGGGAACATTAGAACATGTGAACATAAAAACATGTGAAAATAACACATGAACATAAGAACATTTGAAAATAAGAACATACCGATCCAAAACAGTTGAACACAAAAGCATTAAATCCTCAGAAATTGTGAGGGGGGGGGGGAAGGATTTTGATAAGCCGCCGGCTTCCTGCCCCAGTCGAGACCACGGGAGATGGCGGCTCTGAGGTAAATTCGGGTATGTAGAATGAATTATTAGCAGAAGGCCTATTGCTTAAGCAAGGCAGGTTCTATTTATAATCCCACATCTACTACCCCATGCATTTATCCAACCTCTCCTCCTACTTATATGCCTATCCACCCTCATGGATAGGTACCCATGTACCTATCCAACAATTGCTTGGATAGCCACTGGAACTGGTTGGAAAAGCGACGGGTTGGGTTCTTTCAAGTCCGGCGTTCGATCCCCGATGGATTAGGTGATTGGAGAGTGTTCCTTAACTCGTTCTCAAGTCCCCGCTTCTTGAACAATTGAGAATACAGAAGCACAAGTTCTGTGACAATAAGAAGACGTAACAACTTCATTTAAAGTCGTAACAATGGAATTATAGGGACCGTTACGTTGGTTGCTTTATGTTAACCAGACCACACACTAGAAGGTGAAGGGACGACGACGTTTCGGTCCGTCCTGGACCATTCTCAAGTCGATTGTGATGAGGAAGTAGAGACAGGCAATAAATAGGCAAGAGAGAGCTGAGGAGCCAAGTAAGGTGTAGTAGAGGGTATAGTAATAATAACAAGTTATTATTAAATAAAGCAAACAATCGCTTTATTTTAATAATAACTTAACAAATTGTTTGCTTTATTTCCGGTAATCACCAGATTTCCTGTGATTTCAGTACAAATCCGATCGTATAACTTTTTACAATTCAGCGATGGTTTAGTGGTTGAAGATGCGACTTGACATTGCCGAGGACGTAGGTTCGCGTCCCCCTCACAGCCCTAGTGTTTAGTCTCATTATGAACAATGGTAATATTTACTAAACCATTGGTGTAAGGTTAACATAATAACAGCTGCCTGACTCAGGTCCCAATATAATTAATGGTTCAGCCGCTTACTCACCGACAAAATATGGAAATACTTTTTATCACCGAGAAACGACAAAATAATTCTGCACCACATTACCACAAATTAATTATTTGTTGGCATATTTGGACACACGCGGTGTTGGCCGCGCTAATACCCGCGACTCTCTCGTAATTATTCATGAAAAGGTTGGTACAATATTATTAATAATATTATAATAATAGACTATACCATGTATACCCAGCTCGGTATGTACACCTGTGTATATATATACAGGTGTGTATATACCTGTGTTTATAATATATTATATATTTATTATACACACACACACACACACACACACACACACACACACACACACACACACACACACACACACACACACACACACACACACACACACACAGGTACGAATAAGCCTGAATGGTCCCCAGGCATATATGCATATATTTAGTTATATATACAGGTGTATATAGATCTGTGTATATATACAGGTGTATATACACACCTGTGAGTTTACTTTAGTCCTGAATATAGTAAAGAAGTATAGTATCGTCTTGAGATGAGTTCGGGTCTTAGCGTTCCCGCGGCCCGGTCCTTGAACAGGCCTCCTTTTTGTTACACACTCCCCCAGGAAGCAGCCCGTAGCATCTGTCTAACTCCCAGGTACCTGTTTATTGCTAGGTAAATAGGGGCATCAGGGTGAAAGAAACTCTGCCCATTTGTTTCCGCCTCCACCGGGGATCGAACCCGGAACCTCAGGACTACTGGGCATTAGCCCCGAAATCATCTCAAGATAACCTAAAGAAGATATTTCTGTGGCTCAATCTCTGGTGCACAGAGACGTTAATAATTCCCGTTATCCCGTTCCCGTTATAAGGACCAGGGATCGATCCAGGGTTCGATCCCCTACGCGGAACAGAAATGGTTGGACACGTTTCCTTTCATCTAATGCACCTATCCAAGGCGTCATGTCACTGACAACGCGATTTAATCATACTAACGTAACGTCAAAATATATCATACAAGCCAACCTTTGTATTTTCAACGTTGAGGAGAGTCTCGGTGGTGGAGCAGGTTGGGTCATCAGGGCCCGTGAGGAGAGGAGAAGAGTATGGTGGTGGTGGCCACTACTGTCGACAGCAGGAAGCAGAAGAGCAGCAGCCGATCGAATACCAGAGCCACCTGCATACAGACAGCAGACCAGGGAGGAAGAAAGCTGCGATTAATTGGCATGGGTTGAAATGTGTGTGTGTGTGTGGGGGGGGGGGGGGGTGTATGTAGAGAACTATCAGGGGGGGAAAGCACCAAGCCATTGTGACTATATAGCACTGGGATGGGGTCAGGATAAGGATTTGGGATGGGACGGAGACAAGGAATGGTACCCAACCACTTGTGGACAGTCGGGGATTGAACGACGACCTGCATGAAGCGAGACTGTCGCTCTACCGTCCAGCCCAAGTGGTTGGTTGAGCATATGTGTATGACTTTGTGTGTGTGTGTGTGCGCGCGTGTGTTTGTTTTGTTAACAAAAATTATTATTATTTTATCAAGCATGTAAGTTGCCAATTAACGTGAGGCAGCATATTAGTGAATTGCCACAGGCACCATAGTGCCATGGTGCCACTCATATTAGCAACATAGATATAGCAAACGGCAAGATATCTATTGTGTGGTACATCATTTGAACGGTAATTAAGAGCTTCGATAATTATATACAAATTATATTAAATTCTCTTAAGTTCAAAAACTTGATTTGACACTCATTTATGTCAACCATGGCAGCCTCCATCATGTCAACCATGGCAGCCTCCATCATGTCAACCATGGCAGCCTCCATCATGTCAACCATGGCAGCCTCCATCATGTCAACCATGGCAGCCTCCATCATGCCAACCATGGCAGCCTCCATCATGCCAACCATGGCAATCTCCATCCCTGGCAATCTCCATCATGTCAACCATGGCAATCTCCATCATGCAACCATGGCAATCTCCATCATGTGTAACCATTCATGCCAACCATAGCCTCCATCATGCCAACCATGGCAATCTCCATCATGCCAACCATGGCAATCTCCATCATGTCAACCATGGCAATCTCCATCATGCCAACCATGGCAGCCTCCATCATGCCAACCATGGCAATCTCCATCATGCCAACCATGGCAATCTCCATCATGTCAACCATGGCAATCTCCATCATGTCAACCATGGCAATCTCCCCCTGTTGGCCTCTGGAAAAACTGTGTAAATTTGTAAATATAATTTTTCTCAGGTGTCAAAAACCTCCCACATTTTCATTAAGGATTGTGTCTGTTGGTCATTAATTATTAAGGCGCTAATTACAGTGAAAAGTGTGGCACTTTGCGTCCCTTCATAACTATAATGGCGCTCCCGTTAGGGTAAAAAAAAATTCTCCAATTATTTTGCCTAAATTTGATTTTGATTTTGCCTGTTCTTTACTCTTTTTGTATTTCTATTTATAGATTTTTAGTTTTTTTAATATTTAAATTACTTGGATATGGTTTGGTTTTTGTGTAGAGACGAAGTCATAAGTGGAAATAGATGGCATAGAGAGTCATAGAGGCGTGTGGAGATCTCTTGCCCCGTCCTGGTCGACGGAGAGTCGACCTTACTGAAGGCTTGGTCGACGACCGGGCCGCGGAGACGCTAAGCCCCGAAATCATATCAAGGTAACCTCAAGGTAACCTGACCCTTGTTAAGGGGGAAGATACAAGCTGGAACAACTACACGACAACTCATTAGCAATATGTGTAGAATAACAAACCCCATATTGTTTCAGTTAGGAAAATATTATTTGTCAGATTTAGATACTATTCTTAAAAAGATATCCCCATTTTGCACCCGCAAGATAACGTAAGATTTTAAGGGTTGACAGATGTTAATCTTGTTGTTTGAGAATCTGTTCACTTGAGACAGTTAAGCAAGTCCCAGCTGTGTCTGGGTACAAGTGACAGGATGAACAACCCAGCGGGTTTTCTTCCTATTGGGGAGTGTTGTACATGCTGCTATGGCGGTGTGTCCACTCACAGGATGAGCGACGCTGCCCAATAAACTCGCCCCTCCGGGCAAAATTAAATATATTAAACTTCAAGACGATTCGTCGAATGATCTTAACACTTGACCTAACCTTAAACAACCTAATCTAAACTAACTTTACCTTAATATTAAACAACCTGGCGTAACCCATACCAAGATAACCTATCCCAATCGAGCCTAGCACAGCCAAACCTTGCGATATATGTACGATTTTGACAATGAAAAAACGAGTTTAGTGGAAGAGTCGTGAGCGGTGGCGAATATATTTCCTTAACAAAACAACTGATACTGAAAGAGTCCATTGTTATGCTACGAGAAATTCAGTAATTTAACTGACTTTAATAAGTAAATATTTCAGGATTGAGCAGTTAGACGAGACTAACTGGTTCTTTAATTGTTGTTTAACCTGTGAGTATTGTTGTATTAGTTAATTTTCCAGTTACTGTGTAGTTTAAACTATGCGGGCTAGAACCAGTTTGAATGTTAATTTTTATATTTAACTGCGGGGGTTAATGAGCTACAGGACGCTTATTCTCTATTATAATGTTAACAATAATTTATAACAAAAGCAAAAGATTGGAGACTTTACATATTTTTACTTTAACATTTTAAAAATTCTTGTGTATGTTGGCTAACAAAGCAAATTCATTTGGCATGACCTAAAAAAAAAATTGACGACAGAGTTACGCGAAATACACAAAGGAAACGGAACTCATTTCGATAACAGAATTACGACGATAACACACACACATACACTTAAATAATTCACAACCATGGGGCAAATAGTCTACTAACGAGAGCAAATGATATCCAGTAGATCCCAGCCAGTAACTAAGATAACAGGTAAAGGCCATATCTGACCTTGATACAGATTACTGCTCACTAAATGTTCCCAATTTGCATTCTCCTAGTTACTGTAACTAGTAATATGTGTACAACAAAAAGTGTGTTTGATATAAGGTTTCAGGAAGGACAGAAACGACGTCATTTTTCCGGCTTACACTTGTGTAATTAGCTAAGTGTAATTACAGGATGAGAGCTACGCTCGTGGTGTCCCGTCTTCCCAGCACTCTTTGTCGTATACGTTTTGAAACTTGCATGTGTGTTGGGTTACATGTTTCAGCCACTCTACGGTCATTTACTCTCTTCAAATTAGCATACATGACTTTTGTATAAATCGAGATTGTCATTATTGTTATTTTAATTACTAATATATATATTATTTACACGGTATAACAGAACTTTGTACAATTATGTATTATTATATATAACAATATTAAACATTCATAATTTCTGGAATATATATATGTGTTCGATTTGAAAAGGCCACACAAAGAAACTCTTCATTACATGTTAACATTTTCTTGTTTAAAAGCTGAATGGTGAATATCAAATTATAATGTCTTTAAAGTCCCTATTTTCTATCAAACAGCAGCAACAGTTTTTCCATTTCAGTCATGTCAAAACGTGATGTTCTCTGTGACTTCAGGCAATTGGAAACCTGTGATCAGCTGTTAACACACACACACACACACACACACACACACACACGCACACGCACACACACACACACACACGCACACACACACACAGCAATTTACAATGAGATAAAGTTTGGTATCCGTCAGTGAATCAAACAATACAGAGCTTGACGCAAGTGCCCAGTGTATTGATTGACATTGATTGTAGTGGTGGTGGTATCGACAGTGATTGTAGTGGTGGTGGTATTGACAGTGATTGTAGTGGTGGTGGTATCGACAGTGATTGTAGTGGTAGTGGTATCGACAGTGATTGTAGTGGTGGTGGTATTGACAGTGATTGTAGTGGTGGTGGTATCGACAGTGATTGTAGTGGTGGTGGTATCGACAGTGATTGTAGTGGTGGTGGTATCGACAGTGATTGTAGTGGTGGTGGAATTGACAGTGATTGTAGTGGTGGTGGTATCGACAGTGATTGTAGTGGTGGTGGTATCGACAGTGATTGTAGTGGTGGTGGTATCGACAGTGATTGTAGTGGTGGTGGTATCGACAGTGATTGTAGTGGTGGTGGTATGGACAGTGATTGTAGTGGTGGTGGTATCGACAGGGATTGTAGTGGTGGTGGTATCGACAGTGATTGTAGTGGTGGTGGTATCGACAGTGATTGTAGTGGTGGTGGTATCGACAGTGATTGTAGTGGTGGTGGTATCGACAGTGATTGTAGTGGTGGTGGTATCGACAGTGATTGTACCACTTCACGTACCTGTTGCCATTCGACGCGAGTTGTCTCCTTTCTGTCTTGTTCAGCGAGTCTCATCTCGTTCTTCTCAATCGTCTGGTACACTTTGTTCAACACCCGAATGAACTGGTGTTCAAAATCTGTAACATCACATCTCTTATCAGTGGGCAAAACTGATACCAAATGGGCTCATATCAAGTGCCGTTTAGTATATTAGGGTAATAGAAACGATATCCGAAGTATGTTTTGTGGACTTAAGCAGACCCAATCAGGACCAGATTTACTAGCTGACTTAATCAAATTATGTTTCACAAGCGTAAAAATAAAATATTTCTGTCATAGCGATTATTTATATATAATATATAAACTTGCTACAAATAATTATTTATCCAAAGATAGCATACAGTATTGTGCGTATATAACGTAGATAAACACTATCATCCATGCGTTTCTCGTCGCTAAATATATAGTGAATCACTTTTAAAATAGTTATATATATATATATATATATATATATATATATATATATATATATATATATATATATATATATATATATATATATATATATTATACTAAAAGAATAGGAGTGGTAAGAGAAGACAAGATTTAAGTGTTCAATGAGGAGCCACAAGGTCTTCTTTGAGTACTCTTTATTTTCTTCTTTGAGGCTATGGGTCCCTACACTTGCACCAGAGGTGGTACCCCTTTGTGAATCACTTTGTATACTAGAAGACAGCTTGGTGCTACCTACAGCACTTCTAGATGGCATTATTGTGGGTAGTAATATACTGAGTTTTCTCTCGAGGGAGTTCAACCTGCCTTCTTATAAATTACGTCCGAATTTGGCCGTTTACCCGTATGACCGAAAATGGACGTAATTTGAAAATGAAAAAAAAATTGGATTTCATTTTTTTCCAAAACAGTAAGTTAAGGGTTCTCTGGTAAGTTAGGAGAGCAGGAAGTTCTCCTAAAGTTTCAAAACGTCATGAAAAACGTTAATTGAAAGTTTCCTCTCCTAACCTAACCGAGTAAGCCGGAGGACTCGAACAGAAAACGGGACAGTACATCACTTTCGTGAGCCGATTTCTTTTCAAATTACGTCCATTTTTTGGTCATAGCGCGCATACGGGCGAAGAGCGACGTTAGTTTAATAGGATGAGTTGCAAAATGAACATGTTCCTGAGTGAGCCTGACTGGAGGCAGGTTGTATATTGGGCCGGCTGGACGTACCTGATGGGTGCATGGCTGTTGTCGTAGGCAAGGGCATGGAATCGTAGTTGGAGGCGTTGTGTCGACGGGGCACGAACCTTGGCGAGGTGTTGTACAGGTCGACGCTGTCCAGGTCAGACCTGTGGAACTTTTGGGCACTAATGGAGTCCAGTCTCACTCCCATTTCTGGTCTCAGGTCCTGTGGAGTAATCCAAAGGCGTAAAATTGCCAATTATGTCTCTAAATTCATTAACCAGTTGATTGTTAAAAGGTTATGTATCAGTCCGGCCTCCTAAGGTTTCCCCAACGTCAAGAAACTGTCGTACTAAAGTGTCCTTATCCTATCCTACCAGAGGACCCACAACAGAAAACGAGACTGTATGTCAATTTTGCGAGCCGCAACTATTTTCTAGTACGACAGTTTTTTCCCCTTAGGTAGAGTATACGTCAAAATGCGACGTTCTCTTAGGAGGATGGGTTGTATGTATGTATATATACATACATACATACATACATACATACATACATACATACATACATACATACATACATACATACATGAATGTATGTATAGACTGGAGGGAACTTGTTACAAAAGGTCACACTGTTCGCCAATGTATAGAAACTGATATACACTGATCATTGTATTGATCAATAAATCTATATAAGGCAAATATAGATTTTACAATTGATTAACACCGTGTAGAGAGACGAGTGGAACAAACTTCCTAGTAGCGTAACTAAAGCAAACTTCTCAGTGAGTTATATACAAAATAACCCCTGTCAATACCTTGAGTATCTATTATACTCGGATCATGTCATCTCTGGCTCTATTTTCCTTACCTGTGGAGTGACCCAACTTGCTTCGATTGCCCTTTCAGGTTTAGCCTCGTATCTCTTGAGTGCCTCTGATGGCAAACCTAAATTTATTGGTCAGTGTTTATGAGTTTGATTAGAAGAAATGCTTATGTTTGTGTTCTTCTGTTGTTCCGCGGTGAACTTTTTGTTCTTGTTCCGTAGTGAACAGGAAGTTCACCACGGAACTTCCATTTCTTTGAGTCTAATTCCGTTTTTCACTTATTAATAATTTGCATATTTATCTTCTATATAATTTTTGTCTGTTGATTTTGGTGCAATTTCCGGGTGCTTGGAGAGTTTCAGATCCTCTTGACGATCTTAGGTATCTGCTCCCAAGGTGATAGATTCTCTCTTCCAGGCTCCTTCAATCCTTCTTTCATCCTTTTGCATCTGTTCCCTTTGTTCCATGTTTCTCCTTCCTCTTATGCGTCTTCTATCGCCATGTGTATCAGTACAAGCCATCCTAAACAGCTCAGTCTCCTGTCTTAACTTCTTCATTTACTTGATCTTTTCCTTTTCTTTCACACCCAGGCGGACCTCAGTGCCTCACATCCTTCTCTTTCAGCCTCGTCACCTCTCCCTCTCGGGTTTAACGACGTCGTCTGCGGTAGTCTTGTTTACGTCCTCATCATTTTTATCTCGCTTGATTCTCTTGTCACGTATCCTCTTTCCTGTTCCCTCTTCTCTCATGTCCTCCTGTTTCCCTTTCGTTCCCTCTCTCTCTCTTATCTGTTCTGCCCACTCCCTTCATCTTTTTCTTGTTCTTCCGAAAACAGATTCTCATCGTTGGTCTCTCTCTCTCTCTCTCTCTCTCTCTCTCTCTCTCTCTCTCTCTCTCTCTCTCGTCTCTGTTATTATGATGCCACAGGACCTTCTCACCCTTGCTAGGGACAGCTGCGTGTGGCGGATCTCCTGCTTGACTGAACGTCAAAGCTGTGAGATGTGTCATTTGTGTGTGGGCATCCAGGGGTGTGGTGTTGACGGTAACACACGCGCACACCTTCACACACACACGAAGGGCCCAAAGAGCCAGAGCTCAACCCCCCCCCCCCACAAGCACAATTAGGTGAGTACACACACGCACTCGCATATACTCATTCGCACTCTCTCTCTCTCTCTCTCTCTCTCTCTCTCTCTCTCTCTCTCTCTCTCTCTCTCTCTCTCTCTCTCTCTCTCTCTCTCTCTCTCTCTCTCTCCCATACATTTCCGCCAAGAGTGTAAATCACATCATTTCCACGACCTTCCCCCCATGTCAGCATCATAAACATTTCCGCCATATATATAAATTCAATCCCCCGCCACCCTAAAAAAAAGTCATTGAGAAAACCCATCACCAACTCACATTAAGGTGTATCTTCTTGTCCTCAATCCCCGCCGGGTGAAAGTGGAGGAACAGGAACCGGGAGAGACCTCCAAGGACGAGCCTCTTGACGAGTCGAGGCACTTCGGTGCCTCTCACTCCTCGGTGATGAATGTTGAGTGTCACTACTGCCAGACCTGATGCCAGACTCACCAGGCATATGGTCACCCCGTAGTACATACCTGGAGGCAGGGAGAGATGGGTAATGCCCCGGAGATGAAGTGAGATGTCATGTACAGTGGAAGCTGTAGTCTGAGGCTGGAAGGTGTCCGACTCTAAGATGAATAGATGCTCATTACGTCAGTGGGAGTCTTAGAGCATCTGGAAGATGAGCTAAGACTCCCGTCAAGAATCATTGTATCTACGCCAAGGATATGGCTTGTACGACCTGGTTATACCCCTGTACGTGAAAGAGAAGCTGTGTACGACATAGAGTTGCCGTGTATGCCAAGGTATATGCAAATTAGATGTTTTATGCGAGACGGAAATACCTATACGCCAGGCACGTGACCTGTACGCCAGGACCCGGATTGACGAAGCAGTTACGCAAGCACTTACGAACCTGTCCATCTTTCCTCAATCTTTGGCGGCTTTGTTTACAATTTTTAAACAGTTAATGAGCTCCGAAGCACCAGGAGGCTGTTTATAACAATAACAACAGTTGATTGACAAGTTTTCCTGCTTGTAAACTGTTTAATAAATGTAACCAAAGCCGTCAAAGATTGAGGAAAGATGGACAGGTTCGTAAGTGCTTGCGTAACTGCTTCGTGAATCTGGGTCCTGGCACGTGCATCATTAATTACAGGAGATCCGTTTATATGGACCACAATACACGTCTTCAAGTTTAGCAACAAATCTCCTTAACCGAATATTGTGAGCGGGCCACACACTATTAACCTTAATGTTCATATGGGTGCTTCTCCGTGAGAACTTTTAAGGAAACCCGCCTTTACGGCCCATCTTGAACTTATTTATGAAACTTCTTTTATAACAAGTGTTGGACAATCTTGGGCTAAGTGCTTGGACACTGTTCCTTCAGGACTCTATCCCACCTCTTAACCTATTCTTAAATCCCTTCCTTGGGTGCTATATAATTATGTCCTAGATCTTAGTCTATCTTGTATCCCTTCCCTGTCCTATATTATCATAGTGGCTCACCGTATTCTTGTTATAATTTCGTTTCCTGGAAATAATTGAGTATTCTGAAAAAAATACCTGATTAAAGGAAATGTTCTTTCTAAGCATAATTCAGATGAAATATATTTTATTAAGATACTTAACGATTTTTATAAAAATAATAAGAGGGACTGGAATTAACAAGGGAAAGCGCCAAGCCATTACGACTATATAGCACTTGGAAGGGATCAGGATAAGGATTTGGGATGGGACGGGGGAAAAGGAATGGTGCCCAAACACTTTGGGATGGTCGGGGATTGAACGCCGACCCGCATGACGCTCTACCGTCCAGCCCAAGTTGTTGGGCTTACGAAGAGCTAATAAGGACACACGAGGGATAAAAGTTAAAATGAACTTACTGATAAGAGGCGTCTTCTCCGTAGGAGGTAGAGACTCGCGAATGGTCATTAGGAAGACTGTCATAGAGAGTAGAGCAGAGATGCCTAGAGTCACCTTCTCTCCTGATTCACTAGGCACATAGAACACCAATAGAGCTGTGGGAGAGAGACATGGTGAGATACATAGAGTGAGAGAGTGAGTGAGTGAGAGAGAGAGAGACATGGTGAGAGTGAGAGAGAGAAGGACGGAAGACAAACTCAAATACAAATATTGATCATGGGGGAATCTAAGTTGGGAAATATTATTATTTTTCAGTGTTTTGGAAAAGGCTCGTTGAAATATGCCTACAAGCCGCCAGTCATATTTCATCGAGCTGTTTATTCTGTAATTGATGGATGTTGCAAGGGTTATTGGCAGCTGTTAAGCCCTGATTACCGTTACAGAACCCGTTGCCCTTCCATATCTACCGTTACAGGGCCCGTAGCCCTTCCATATCTACCGTTGCAGGACCCGTAGCCCTTCCATATCTACCGTTGAAGGACCCGTAGCCCTACCATAGCTACAGTTACAGGACCTGTAGCCCTTCTACGGCTACAGAAGGGCTACGGGTCCTATGATCACCTGCCGGTTCTTGTTCCAGGGGTCCAGTAGAACGAGACTAAACGCAATGATTTATATGGTAACAAAATGCAAAAAAATGATCAAATTCGAACTTAATTCTTGATAAAGTTACACCCGCAAGGTTGACGCAGCTCATAAAGCAAGACAAGATACAGAAGTTTGTAACTATGCCGTCAGATCAAGACGCAAGTTATGACGCAGTACAAATGCAATCGAGAAACATGAAAACTGGGCATTATTCTCGATGTTAATGACCAAATTTAGTCCACGACACAAACGGAAGCGCATTCCACGAGGACTTCCGTTGATATGGACATATAATACAACAGGTCCTGTTGGACAAAATAAGGGCATAACGGAACGCAAGAGACAGAACTCACTCATCCCGTTGATAATGTTGTACTCAATGAGTACACAATGGGACGCAAGAACTCACCTATCCCGTTGATAATGTTGTACTCAATGAGTACACAATGGGACGCAAGAACTCGCCCATCCCGTTGATAATCTTGTACTCAATGAGTATACAATGAGACGCAAGAACTCACCTATCCCGTTGATAAGGACGCAGGGTAGGATGAGATTGAAGACATAGAACATGGGACGCCGGCGGAGCTTGATGGTAAAGGTAATGTCTGGGTAAGGTTCAGGGCAGCAAGAATAGTAGGTAATATTCTTTGAGGCGGTGAACTCCAGCAGGTCAAACTCTCCGTTGGACTGATAGTTAGACATGTCCCCAGATTCCATCTGCTTGACCAAGTCCAGCTATTGAGAGAGGGAATAAGAAAAGTCGATTAAGGCAGCGTCTGGGATCCTCTCGGTCGTACGTTCGAACCCTCATTACAGCCTTTGTGGATTTGTTAATATGAAAGTCTTCTTAAGTCTGATCATTTTGTTGTCGAAGAGATATAGAGATTATAGTTTTTAAGGTGAAGATGTGTGTTTTTTTTTTTTTTGCTTCTTATGTATGTGATTAGACGACTTCAGACTCCAATTAGCAGGCTGAGACTTTCCCTTCCTATTGTTCGTGTTAAGCCTTACGTGTTGTGGATGGTTAAAGACTAAGGGTAGAATATGACTTAGAAAAATCAAATGACGGTATTGAGGAGTTAAGAGGTCTTTGTATACAGGTAGGAAACGAGTCTTGAACGGCAGCCAACATCGTTGTAGAAGAGAGAGAGAGAGAGAGAGGTCTTGGAGAGAAGGTATTTACGGCGACATTGACGTTATGTTAGTGAGGAGATCTTTATATAGACCAGGTGTTTCCTCAAGAAAATCTTGATTGATAACCTTAAGGTGTTCTTAAGTTACATGGTGGTAAATCAGTGTTTAAAATCAATTTCAGCTGATCAAAGAAACGATGGAGGGACAGAATTTTCATGGGTAAAGCGCCAAGCCATTACGACTATATAGCACTGGGAAGGGATAAGGATTTGGGATGGGACGGGGGAAAGGAATGGTGCCCAATTACAGTGCTGATGAATGAGATTAGAACAAGGCTGAGTCTGCTCATGCAAAACACTGCCAGAAAATCAGATTTAGACATTTAGCATGGTTCACCAACTATGGAACAGGCGAGGCAATTTATTAAATATTAATGATAGCCTCAAACAAAAGCATATTTGCAAATTCATTTATTTTAATATTCTTAGCCTCTGCAATGGTGATATTTCACTTGAGATCCAAGTTACAGTAGAGAAAGATCAAGTTGCAGAAGATGATGATCTAGTTACAGGAAGCAAAGAGCAAGATACAGGATAGAAAAATGAAATTACAGGAGAGAGAAAGACCGAATTACATGAATGAAAGATCCAAGTTACAGGAGGAGAAAAAGAAAATACAGAAAAATTGTGTTTTGTGAAATAATTATATTTATATAATTATTTATTTCTATTTATACAATAGTTCTTACACTCTTGTACAGCCACGAGCACTCATAGCGATTCGGGCAAGTCCTTAATCCTAATTTTTCCCGGAATACGACCCGCCAAATCGTTTACCAACCAGGTACCCATTCACTGCTGGGTGAACAGAGGCTACAGTTAAGGATTGGCGCCCAGTCAATCCTCCCCGGCCAAGATACGAACCATATATATATATATATATAATATAATATATATATAATATATATATATATAATTATGTCACAGGAGGACACCGAATGAAAGCAGATGGATTAAAACATTTTTGGCGGAACTTTGAATGAAAGTTGAGAGAGACAGTGTGTTGAATAGAGACACTTCAGAGTTGATTGATAGTACACACACACACACACACACTGGCTGGGAGACATCCTTAACGACTAGAGCTAACAAGCATCTGGGATATACGCGGAAGCTGAATAATATATGAACCTTCAAAGATAATATGATTGAGATGGAGAAAGGGTGAGATAGTGAAAACGAGCGGTAGAGTGGAAGTGATAATGAGAGGAAAGGTCAGATAGAAAGGTAGATTGTGATAGTGAAATGTCAACTTGTCCTCCTACAAAGAACGTCGCTTTTCGCTCGTAGGCGTTACATGAGGCCAAACATTTTCGTACTAGAAAATGGAAGCGGCTGGCGAAAGTGACGTGCTGTCCCGTTTTTTGTTTTGGGTCCTCTGGTAGGTTAGGAGAGGGCACTTTAAATTGACCGTTTTCCTTACGTCGGGGAACACGAAAGAGATAGTAGACTGAGATAGTATGATATAGAAACTATGAAGATGCTGAGTGAGATAGATAAAGATACTGAGAGATAGCCAAAGATGCTGACATATTGAAGCAAAGATTGAGTAAAGAGAGTGCGACAAAGATGTGAACTGAGAGTGTGTTTTAGGTTGAACTTACCTATCAGTACTTGTCTATTAGTCTACGGGGTAGTGCGGTCTAGCTCTTCACACCCCGCCTACTAGCCAGAGACAACAGCTAGACACAACAGCTAGGAACAACAGCTAGGAACAACAGCAAGGCTAAAAGGGGTGTCATCTGTCTGTCTCTCCTTCAACAGTATCAGCCACAGAGAAATTTATCGAATGTCAGTTAAGTTCATTACTCTTCATCCTGATTGGCAAAGGGTCCTGGAAAGCAGCCCTTTCAGCCTGAATCCGTTACCCTAAGGCAGTTTATGTAAGGTCCTCTGATGGTCTCACTCTCGTTATCTATGGTCTGATTGGCTTAATGCCTAAAATGATTCATGGTTAATTAAAGCTTTTCTGGAAAGGTCAATCTGAACCCATGATTTTGGAAAATATAACTCTGAATGTACCAGTCTGTGTCTGGATTATAGAAAACTGTCTGAGTGTGTTAATCTGACCCCTGGATTATACAAGGTCTATACAGAATATTATATTTAGTTTAGCGGATTCCAGGCCCTCTAAATACGTCACCCTGAGTGACGTATTTAGAGGGGTGACGTATTTATTTTAGATTTATCACTTTTTTTTTATTTATGACGTATTTTTAGATATTTGACGTATTTAGGGGTACCACCTTTGGTGCAATTGCAGGGACCCACATCCTCGAAGAAGAAAACAAAGGGCATTCAGAGAAGATCTTGTGAATTCTCACTGGATACTTTAATCTTTTCTTCTCCTACCACCCCTATTATTTTTTTGTACGTTTTGTTTTATTTTGTTTTATTTTATTGCAATGCTACAGTTTACAGAAAACACACGTTTTGACGTATTTATACTTATTTTTAAGGCTCCTCAAAACGTCTCGCTTCTGTAAACAATGCCGCAAGCAGGCCTGATGTAAACACTTTATCAATAGACGAAAACACAGAACGTTCTCAAGGAACAAAACAAGAATAAGATTATTCGAAATATATTTCAGCTGCCAAGTCACGTCCTGACAACTTGGGCGCGCTCTTAAAAATTTTATACTGCCGTATGTCCCGTGGTTATCGATGGGACCCCGGAAATATCCACTCCCAAAATGGTTATCGATGGGCCCTGGAAGGCTGAAGTCTTCGAACACATCTAGGACACTTAATTCGCTTCAAAAAGTTAAATAGGTAGTTCTGGGAGCAAACATGTAGCCCCTGACAAGCTGTTCAGTATCCGGGATATATACGTAATACATATGTATGCAACATACATATGTAAGGTTATGTATGCAACAGTTTGGTTCAAAGTGTCACTTTCATTTATGAGCGATGTGAAAGTGAAAGTCAACATATGGAAAAAGGGCACTATATATTTTATTTAATAGTTCCGTTAAAGAATATAATTGTAGACAGATTCAGATAAAATATGTCCTTAAATCACCTTAAGAACTGCCTAAGAATTTCAGACAATCTCAACAATCACGTACTGCAACATGTCCTCAGTTTTTAAGCACTTTAAAAAAACCATTGTGCGCTTAGTACATGCATATATATAGCTCAAAACGATGGCTCATGAGGCTATTTATTGAGAGAAAAGCCTCCTAATTCAATCCTAACTCATTATTTAAATATTCGTGATACTTTGAAAGTTTAATTAAGACCTCTAGTGATAGTCTATTGATCACCTCTCATGGACTTAAAAAACAAGGATCTTCTGCCCTACTTAGGACTGGTCTGATATCCGTCTTAGGTCCAAGAGTACTTATCGTCCCATAGGAGTTGAGGGAAACCAGACTATCCCTTCAGAGAAAAACCACACCCATAGGAATGTCGTGGTATCCTTTTGTATGTACATACAAAAGCTCCACCTTATCCTCTACGACTTACCTGATACCCGTCGTAGGTCCACGAGGCCCACATCATCTTGCACGACTGGATGTCGAACGGGAAGTATTCGACGTTCATGTCGCATGATGAACGATAAATGCCGTGAGATAGCCACGTTACCTGACCGGCCGCTGTGACTATGACGTTCGTGTTGATGGTGGCCGCTGAATACTGGGCGTCCGCACTAGGCAGGCAGAAGAAAACATGGCGAACTGTTAATAAATCACTTTTTTCTTAGACTGGGTGTACTGCACAGTCAATGCTAGGGGAAAACTCTTGAGTGTATCTGAAATAGACTAATTAGTGAATGATCTAAAAGGTGGCTGCTAGAGTTTAATTCCAGTAAGTGCAAGGAAATGCAGATGGGGGACAATAAAGTTGTACATTACTAAATTGGAATTGAAACGTATTTTGAAGTCGAAGAAATGAAATGAAAAGAGGGTTATCACACCAAATTTGTGCAGTGAGGAGCATATGGTAATTACATAGCAGTTACACACACACACACACACACACACACACACACACACACACACACACACACACACACACACACACACACACACACACACACACACACACACACACACACACACACACACACACACACACACCCACACACACACACACACACCACACACACACACACACACCCACACCCCCACCCACACCCCCACCCCCACATACACCCCCACATACACCCCCCACACACACCCCTACACACACCGCCACCCACACCCCTACACACACCCCCACCCACACCCCTACACACACCCCCACCCACACCCCTACACACACACACACACACACACACACACACACACACACACACACACACCACCCACAATCGAATGAATCCACAACTTGTAAAAGTCTCACTTGTTATAGAGGATAATATCTGGCTTCCACACCCGCTGATAAGGCACTCTGATGACTTGAATCCCACCGAAATCAGAAGCATTCCAAGTGAGATGGGCGTCGGCCCACACATGCGTCAACCAGCAGTTAGTAGTCAGTATCTGGTTCTTCTCGTCCTGAAAAACACAACAAAACTGGGTTATGTCGTGCGTGATTGGCGAGTAAGGGCTTTGTTGATCTCATTACTTGGATTAAACTACTTCATTACCAACTGCTTGCGGTAGTTACTGTCTGGGAGTAAATGTAGCGTGTAGTGTGGGGTTGTTTCTGGGGGTTAGAAGTTGGTTAGCCTCGTTAGTATTAGAGGACTTGGCTGTTTGTACTCGGTGATTCACGAAAAAAAAATTGGATTCTAATCAAGATTCAAAAAATTTTTTTTCTAACCGTGTATCTCTAGTTGTGATACACATTAGAGATATACGATATATATATATATATATATATATATATATATATATATATATATATATATATATATATATATATATGTATATATAATATATGCGAACAAGCCTGAATGGTCCCCAGGCATACATGCAACTGAAAACTCACACCCCAGAAGTGACTCGAACCCATACTGCCAGGAGCACTATGCAACTGGTGTACAGGGCACCTTAGCAGTACTTTTTGGCCTACTATATATATGATATTGTTTTTCGACTATATATAACCTAACCTATAACTTTTTCGGCTACCTAACCAAACCTATATAAAGATAGGTATAGGTAGGTAGGGTTGGTTAGGTTCGGTCATATATCTACGTTAATTTTAACTCCATAATAAATGGGTAGCTTTATCATTTCATAAGAAAAAAATTAGAAAGAATATATAATAGGATATATATATATATATATATATATATATATATATATATATATATATATATATATATATATATATATATATATATATATATATATATATATATATATATTATATATATATATATATACTCCCTAAATACTGCAGAGTTGATCTTGTTACCAAATATCTTGTCTTAGACCAAAGCTATTTGTTATTTTCCTACCGGAAAAGGGGTGTATGAACTAATGCCTCTTGGCAGCATCAATACCTGGTTGCAACAACATTAGGTAACAACAACAACAGCTGAGCAGGTAACAACAACAACAACAGCTGATCGCAGGTGTTTGTGAAGAGCGATTTGTCAGCTGTTGTACCTTGACAGAGCGGAATCCTAATGTCAGTCAACCATGAAATATCTGTGTTTAAAGATATATTTTGTCTTACATTATGTGAGCTGTTATATTTTGTCAACTGTGTGTCTATCTCCTGCTTCTTCATCTCCTGCTTCCGCCTTATCATTTCCACTTCATCTCCTTCCACCTCTTCCCCTACCTCCTCCCTCAAGGGAGGGATGAGGGAGAGGCAAATAGTGATGTAAACATTAGGAGTCAGAGATGCAAAAGTTAACTTTCATTACGTGTGTTTCTCTCTCTGCTTGACACCTCAGCCTGGTTATAAGTGACCAAGTTAGGCAATTTGGGCTAATTCCTGGTGAGTTACGCCCACAGCCCACGGCTACTTGGCGTACATAGATACCGGGAGCAAAGAAAAAGGGTTATCTTAATTACTTTTTTTAGGGGAGAATTCTAGAGAAGTCTTCATTTTTAAGGGCCTTCATGGTTCGTAATTTTCTCGATTAATGTGTCGAGGTTAATGTGGTGTAAGAGGTTATGGGAGAGGGAAGGAGGGGGTTGGTTGTAGTATGTGGGGTTCCTTATGGGGGAAGGGGTGGCCGTTGTACCTGACAGGGTGATGTATAGGTTAATAGTGGGTTTACGTATTCCGAAGGATGGAACTGATCTTAGAGGCAAACATATATACTGTAGACGGCATATTGGTCACCTGAGCTGGGCCTTAGGTAGCATGAGGTATCACCAACGTATCGAACATTACACCTTGGATACTGAAAACTTGATACTACATTAAATGAGCGGGGAATACACTCCAGGGCGCCTGACAGCGCTTCGAATTCGTAGTCCTGAGGTTCCGGGTTTGATCCCCGGTGGAGGCGGAGACAAATGGGCAAAAAGTTTCTTGCACCCTGATGCCCCTGTTACCTAGCGGTAAATAGGCACCTGGGAGTTAGACAGCTGCTACGGGCTGCTTCCTAGGGGGGTGTAACAAAAAGGAGGCCTGGTCGAGGACCGGGCCGCGGGGATGCTAAGCCCCGAAATCATCTCAAGATAACCAAGATAACCTGGACTCGTAGAGGGAAAAATACCATGAGGTTAGATGTCACATTGATAACCAAATTACACAATAGAAGACGAGGAGACGGCGACGTTTCGGTCCGTCCTGGACCGTTATCAAGTCGATCAGACCTCAATTGACTTGAGAATGGTCCAGGACGGACCGAAACGTCGTCGTCCTTTCACCTTCTAGTGTGTGGTCTGGTCAACATTCTTCAGCCACGTTATTGTGACTCCTCGCCTGCAGAAGGATAGGAGTTACGAGGAAAGGCTGGAGGGATAGTGCCTCAAGTCCCAGGTACGAACACAAGAGGATTTCCAGCATCCGGCTAGATGCTCACAATGTGATCAAGATTGATCACATTGTGAGCATAAAGAGAAAATAGACACACACACCGGCAGGGAGATTAATGAATGAGAGAGAGAGAGGGGAGAGTGTCAGAGTAACGAGATCGATCTGAGGGAGGAAAGAGGGATAGAGAAGAGGGGAGATGATGAGGGGTAGTGATGCTGAGCCTCCTCATCCACTACTTTTATAAATTATGAGGGGTGTGTGTCTCATCTTTCCTCCACTACTTTAATACCAATATCTGACAGATAATGCTTAACCTACGATACATTTTTTCATCTTCCTCTTCTTCTTTCTGTTCCTCTTCCTTCTTCTCCAACTTCTTCCTTCAGCTTACTGGGTACTGTGAAATTACCATAATTCACCAGTACTAACAGTGTCACCCCCAGATACTAACTACATCCCTAGCAGTGACTGTCACCCCCTGATACTAACTACATCCCTAGCAGTAACTGTCACCCCCCCAGATACTAACCACATCCCTAGCAGTGACTGTCAACCCCCCCCCCGGCACTGCCCCACACCCCAGCAGTGCCACCAGCCATCCTCCCGGCACTGACCACGTCGATAATACTGTGTAAGGAGACTCCGAAGACGATGGAGAGGGCCTCGGAGGAGTTGGCTGCCGGCCGGACTGAGGAGTCGTAGTTCGCCATTAGGTACCGAGTGAGGCGGTACTCCTGCTCGTCCCCCTCCACCACCACCACCACTGTTGGAGAGAGAGACAAGGGCTCAGTCTGGTGTTGGAGAGAGACATAATGGGTCAGTCTGCTGTTGGAGAGAGACATAATGGGTCAGTCTGGTGTTGGAGAGACAGGCAATGGTCAGTCTGGCGACTGGGAAAGACTGTGATATGTCAGGTGATAAAGATAAAGACAGTTGTATCAATCAGGTGATAAGGAGAAAGACTGTGATTTAGGTCAGGTGTTGAAAACAAATGTATATCGGCAATTCAACACAAAGTCACTGATATCAGTCAGGTATTGAACAGCAAGTCACTGATATCAGTCAAGTATTGAACAGCAAGTCACTGATATCAGTCAGGTATTGAACAGCAAGTCACTGATATCAGTCAAGTATTGAGCAGCAAGTCACTGATATCAGTCAGGTATTGAACAGCAAGTCACTGATATCAGTCAAGTATTGAACAGCAAGTCACTGATATCAGTCAGGTATTGAACAGAAAGTCACTGATATCAGTCAAGTATTGAACAGCAAGTCACTGATATCAGTCAAGTATTGAACAGCAAGTCACTGATATCAGTCAGGTATTGAACAGCAAGTCACTGATATCAGTCAAGTATTGAACAGCAAGTCACTGATATCAGTCAGGTATTGAACAGAAAGTCACTGATATCAGTCAAGTATTGAACAGCAAGTCACTGATATCAGTCAAGTATTGAACAGAAAGTCACTGATATCAGTCAAGTATTGAACAGAAAGTCACTGATATCAGTCAAGTATTGAACAGCAAGTCACTGATATCAGTCAAGTATTGAACAGCAAGTCACTGATATCAGTCAAGTATTGAACAGCAAGTCACTGATATCAGTCAAGTATTGAACAGCAAGTCACTGATATCAGTCAAGTATTGAACAGTATATACGATGTAAAGTAAATAAGCATATCCAATATAGAGTATTGTTTAGAACATTAAGTATAGCCAATATTTTACAAATTTGTTCGTCTGTATATTATAAAATCATTATTACGATTTAAATAACACACATTATTTTAGTAACTATATAGATCTTATATTATGCCTGACGTTGGTTAGGTCACTAACTAGGCCAAAATAAGGTTATTTAACTAGTTAATTATTTAACTAACTCTTAACTAGGCCAAATAAAGTTATTATAATGAGGGCACTAACTACTCTGTAAATTTCCATATATGAAATTATCACAAGTTCTCTCTGGTTCTTAGGCAAAATGGTTTTTGCCTACGAGGCCTAGTATGTTCTTCTGATTTACCACAACTGTAAAATAAAATGTCTGATCAGAGTAGGCCAGATGCTTAGGGTTAGTCTCACCCAACTTTCCAACATGAAACAAGGGGTGTATATGAGGGATTAAAGGACAGTCCGGGATCGGCCCCAATGCTACTTTTTAAGAAATATCGGCATCTATAGCGACCCCTAACGATTTTCATAAAGTCTGAAATTTACGCGTTTTCCATAGAGTTTTTCAGAATTTGTTCGGTGTTTCATAATATTATATTTTCTGAGAGAGAGCGAGGGATAGGGGGGGGGAGAAGAGGAAGAGAAAAATGGAGAGAAGATAAGGGAGAGGTGAGAGAGGGGGGGGGATAGAGAAGGGGGGATGAAAGTGGATAGGGGAGATGAGAGAAGTGAGGGGGAGAAAGACCCGGGAGCAGCTGGATATATATATATGGGGATGGTAAGTTCCGTTGGGTAGCAGTTAGTTGCCTTGTGATCCTTTCCTTTTATGGGTCACGCAGTAGTGCAGAAGATAGAGCGACTGTCTCCTATGGCGGAGGTCGGGTGTTCGAGTCTGCTAGTGTCCAAGATGAAGGAAATATTACATCCGCGGTACTGCGGTATACAGTGTGTGGAGAGAGAGATTTGTGGTATATATGTATGTGTGTGTGTACATAGTGAACAGCTTTTCAAAGAGGAATACATTGTTCAAGTGAGTTACATCATACATAAATCATCATCATCATCAGTACATCATACAAGTGTCATTGATGACCGGAGGAACGCTTGAATATAACAATAGTGTTTTGTTCACATATAAAGCAGCGACTGACGTCTCTATACATGAGAAAACTTATTCTCTTCCAATCTCCAGCTCACTTTTTCTGTCCGATTTCTGCGTCGAAATCGGTGAAGATCTCAAATGGATTTGTAGGGAAATAGACAAGATTGCCGCAGCTCTCCAAACCTTCTGGGGCTTCCCACACTCCTAAATATGAGAGAGTTCTTTCTATGAATATCTTAGGGTTGAGCAGAGAGGACAAGACGAGAGGACACGTCTCCTGCCTGTTTCCTCAAGACGGTGAGGAAATAGAGATATATCTACACAAGAAAAATGTTCAGTATGTGATTCACATACACACATGTGACTTACACATATGCTGCATATGAAGTGATATTGGTATTTGGTTTATCCATTACTTTACATTTTTCAGGTATTAATATAACCAATTTCACGATGGAAAAGATGAACTGCATTTGTTGTTGTTGTTAAAGATTCGCTACCTAGAATAAAAAGTTCCAAGTAGCACGGGCTATGGCGAGCCCGTGATGAGCTGCAGCTCACAGGTGTTATATATATGCAGGTCAGGGAAGGGAAAAAACGGCCGCTCAAAGGGACCGTTCTTAATATGACTCAAGAGGTTCTCCGACACGACGACTCAAGAGGTACTTCACTACCCTTCAAGATGATTTCCTCTCACGCGATCTGTCAAGTATAGCCTCAAGACATTACGAGAGGTCCTCCTCGACACTATTCCTCAAGATGTCTACCTCTGAAGTGTCGTTCATGAATACCTCCTCCACACTACCACTCATAATGACTTCCGCAATACCATTTAAGATTACCTTCGAGTCCTTCACAGGAGAAGAGTTTTTAGTGTTACATATAACTTGTGAGTTTCTGCAAGTGTGTCGTATATTTCAGGCTCGCGTTTTCTATATGATTTGATGAAAACGACCGTGTGATCTCTAGCCATTGACTAGTGTTATTGGGGAGTTGAAATGTTGGGATAAATACCTCCCGACGACCAATCCTTTTAACAGTCTGTCATGGTGTAGTGCCCTGGAAACACAAACCGAAACTGTCTCCATTTTCCGCTTGTTACAACTTGTAATGAAGTTGTTACATCTTGGCTTAACGTGTTTGTGACGTATTAGAACGTTGTTACAACTTGCTATATTGGTTGTTATAACTGGTTAGGAGGTATTAAAACTTGTTCGAACGTTGTACCAACGTCGTAAATTCGGTGTGTGTTTGGCGGGTGGTTAACATACTGGTTATGTCTGTGTGTGATGCACCTGGCTTTCTAAGGTTCGAGTCCTTCACATGAGAAGAGTTCTAGGATTTAAAAAATTATTAACATGAGCTACGAGCCGCGAGGAATAGGGATGAGATGTGTGTAGGTTGTGTGTTGGGGTATTTGGGGGGGTTGTACCCCCCACCGCCATTCTGGTAGACAAGAGCTGGTAGTTGGGTCGCTGCCAGCCACCAGACCTCCTGGTGGTTTGAGAACATGTCCCCTGCTCCTTAACAACATTACCATAAAAGCCAACTATGCTTCGTTTTACCTGTTAACTCTCGTTAATAGTAAACATGATTATATGTATATAATATATATATATATATATATATATATATATATATATATATATATATATATATATATATGTCGTACCTAGTAGCCAGAACTCACTTTTTGGCCTACTATTCAAGGCCCGATTTGCCTAATAAGCCAAGTTTTCCTGAATTAATATATTTTTTCTAATTTTTTTCTTATGAAATGATAAAGCTACCCATTTCATTATGTATGAGGTCAATTTTTTTTATTGGAGTTAAAATTAACGTAGATATATGACCGAACCTAACCAACCCTACCTAACCTAACCTAACCTATCTTTATAGGTTAGGTTTGGTTAGGTAGCCGAAAAAGTTAGGTTAGGTTAGGTTAGGTAGGTTAGGTAGTCGAAAAACAATTAATTCATGAAAACTTGGCTTATTAGGCAAATCGGGCCTTGAATAGTTGACCATATATATATATATATATATATATATATATATATATATATATATATATATATATATATATATAAATTATAATTTATAATAGTAATTCAATAAAAAAGTAATATTAATCAACTGATGTATATTTATATCAATGTATATTGATATCTCTAAATTTCTTACATATATCTAAATTTAGATAACACTATAGGTAATTTGAGTAGTTATGTTTTATGTTGTTACAATGACTTTCTCTTATATAGGTAATGAGCTGTAATTTTAAGTGAAAATTATAAATGGATAAACATTAATATGTTTAACATATGTATATTTATTACATGTAATAAATAATATTGACGGGACGACCCACGCACAATGCTCAAGTTGTCACACACTATTTCGTGATTAATATTCGAACAGACAGGAATTAATTTGAACAGATTTTTGCCCCATCAGTTCCCTTCTCCCCTTTCTCTCTCTCTCTCTCTCTCTCTCTCTCTCTCTCTCTCTCTCTCTCTCTCTCTCTCTCTCTCTCTCTCTCTCTCTGACTATCATGCACGTGTCATGCATAGAACATAAAGTCTTTTTGATTCTTGATTCAAGTTGAGACTTTGTCCGTTCCCTGATTTCCCAAGGCTACAAGCACGTCATGGTGCAGTGGGCGAGGCGTCTGGTAACTGTCAGTGAAGCTTGTCACTGGCTCTATATGCCGTGTGTGTGTGTGTGTGTGTGTGTGTGTGTGTGTGTGTGTGTGTGTGTGTGTGTGTGTGTGTGTGTGTGTGTGTGTAATTACCTAAGTGTAGTTACAGGATGAGAGCTACGCTCGTGGTGTCCCGTCTTCCCAACACTCTTTGTCATATAACGCTTTGAAACTACTGAAATGTGTGTGTGTGTGTGTGCGCGCGCGTGCGTGTGCGTGTATGGATCGAGCTTGAGCTCTTGGCCCACGGCAGTTTCAGCTGTTAAGCAACATTTGCAATCACTTTCA